ATCCTTATTAAACTGACTGCTAGATGGATATTACACATTAAAGGCTCACAGACATAAGTGGAATGGTGCCCCTTTATCCCAACCCATCCATTACATACAGTATGACATATATTTGTACATTTTAATGTGATCATATAACTTGGCTTCATAACAATAAACAGTTATGTGTATTACCCATAATGAAAAGTACATTTGCTGCAGCATTATTTTCTCATGTTTACTAGGATAATGTTAATTTGCCAATTCTTATTCATTTTTTAAGTGGCATTTTCAGAAAATTGCTAAACTCTTGCCAATGTGATGAAGGCCAGTAGCCAATAAATATTAGATCATGATTTTTAACAACACCACTTCTGATCAATGATTCTTTTTTGTTTGTTGGGATAATAAAGATACTTTATGTTCCCATTGTATTTCAACCCTAAATAAAATTTGAAAATTATCTTTAATTTTTAAATTAATCTTTAAGGCTAAGCACGGGCTGAACAGTTGTAAGTGTGCAGTGTACATTCCATAACAGTTGTTCCACAAGTCTCAACATCGGCAGAGTCCATATAAATAGTGTCAAACATCACATAAAATACAATGCCAGCAACACACACCAGTCATAATGGGCCTTTTGGCTTCCAAGCTCACAGCCTACCCTTGTGGAATATAATACTTGCTCTTTATATGAGGCATAAATCACAAAAATAAAATCTGAGAGCATTGGGAATGAATCAAGAGCTCTGTTCATTGTTTAGACTCAACCTGCCAAAATCATGGTGGAAGTTACATATTCACAAATACCTAAGAGCAAGGAGCATCTTTAAAAGAAGTGGATGGACTTCATGTGCAAAATGAATTAACATTGTAAATAATTATATGAAGAAAAATCCTTTCAGTAACTACTAGGGGAAGTACAAATAGAGATCTGTGACCTTGAATGGCAGTCTCTGGTATCAAATATCCATCCATCCGACTGATGTAAATAGAAAAATGTGGCCAGGAATGAAGCTGGAATAATCTTTCTTGTTTTAATTGAAAGTGCCAGATGGAAGGCTCATCTGTCCCCAACCAACATCAACCAGCAGAATCTTCGCTTCTGTCTCTTTAATGATTGCATGCTGGTGTTTGTCGCCAAGCTCAAACAATACTTCTAATTCTAGAAAAGCATCTGTCAATGAAAGCAGTGAGTTAGATATTAAATCTGAAACATGGTGACAGGAAAGTGAACATTGAGTTTTATTCCTTCTTAGGAATGACTAATATTCCTTATTAGGCTTACTAAAATGTTCCCAGAAACCTGTACAGCACTTCCTTCACACTGCTATGCAGTATTGGTTTTCCTATCTTTTTTTTTGTTGTTGTTAGCAAGGTAGGACATCAGACACATCTGTTTGTCAGTGTTCAGAGATTGAAAGAAAGGCATGTTTTATTTGGCTTTTGGAGACACGACAGATAACTGTGAAAAACAGAAAGGGAATTCCTTAATTCTAATTAAGTTAGAACATTTTCTTTCCTTGGTATAGAAAAGGTATTTCATTGGTAAAAATCCCTTTGTAATTGCTTTTTTCACCCTGATATCAAAACCAGGTGTCCTTGTACAGCTCCACGGGACATTTTGACAAGAAAATACAGCTGTTCCTTCACGCATATACAGTGACATACAACTTGGAAATTAAGCAGGAAAAAATAGGGAAAAAAATAACTAGTTTGGAAAAAAAATGTTTCCTTATTGTTTTCTACTTGATAGCTATGCACCTGGCAACATGCTGACTGGAACTGAGCAATATGACACCACAGCGCCCCCTATGATCTCAGATAGTTTACTGTCAAAGCTCTAGCACACAGACACGATTGCTCTGTACTGAGATGTCATATACTGCAGCACATGACAGAAGTCTTCTTTTTAAGTAATACCTAGGTTTAGCTTTGTAGACAGATTTTAGTTCTGATGAGTTTTTATTCACAAAAAGGTTGTATGACACTATCTGAGAAAACAGCATTCCCATTAGAATGTACATCATGTAAACTGTAATTCACCTGCTGTTCCTTTATAGCACACAGTGTTATTAAAATTTTATAGGACAATGTTATTGAAATGCACCAATGATTTCATAGTATGTTGCTAATAGAGGTAACTGCCTGATATTTTCTATACTGAAGATTGGTTTTGCGGTTAATTGTTATCTTAACTGTGTAAGATTGTTTTTGTGTACGATTGTGCTTTTGCATGTGACTGTCTGAGTGCTTTTGAGAATAGGGCAGCAACCCTTACTTGCATATGACATTTATTTCACATTGTGGGCTTGAGCCTCAGATTCAGGAAAAGCTTGAGATTGTTGATGAAAAAGCCTGAGGTAACGCAATCTGCAATTCTAATTTGAGTTTCATGCTTAAATCAGGTCAAAAAATAATAAAATGCAGAAACATCACCTGGAAAACAAGAGCACCTCAAATTTTAACATTTATTGCAATAATGGCAGCTTTAACGTCAAACAGGTAGGAATACATTTGCAATTTCAATGAAAGGTACTGTAAACTGCAAACATTTTTAAATCTAAAACAATGTAATGCAAATTATTCTTTTAAAACAGTCAGTAAATCTTTGATCTTTTATGGAGCTTTGCTGTTATGTTATGTGTTTGTATTAATTTAACACTAGATTGCAAGCTATAGCAATTATTTCCTATTAAAAAATAAGACATACAGTAAAAACACGATGCCCTGGAAAACATTAAATACAGTAAAACAAAACCAAACATACCAGTGACAGAAGGATTGCAGTTTCTCCATTACATTGAGTTACTGTATGAAAGCATGAAATCAATTGAACAGAGACTTAGTTGCTTCACTGTTGTAAAAATCAACCTCTGCAACAGACATTTTAAAAGCTTAATATGAAGAATACTTACAGTTGTATTTCACACTTAAAGGTTAAGATTTATACCAGGGAAACATGATTTACAAGAAAACTTGTAAAAAGGAGGATAAAATCCATCTACCCAAACTCAGCAACACTTCAGGTAAAAATAAAATGCAAAATAAATCACAAACAAAATATGAGAGTCGTGGGAATGAATCAAATGCTCTCTTCATTGTTTAGACTCACCACCAGCCAAAATGATAGTGGAAGTAACATATTCACAAACAACACAGAGCAAGGAGCAAAATCCAAAATTCCCAAACCAGAAGCAGGAGATTTTGTTTTATAAATGAAACTGGTTGATTCTAATAAAAAAATCCCTAAAACACGAGTCTTAGAAGTATGGCCTTAATACCCTGACACACGCTCTCCTCCCACCCACACATAGGCAACTGTAACTAGCTGATTATCGGAATAAAAAAACAGAACAGATAAATAAGCAATGCCTATCTTTACTAGAATAATTTTCTGCTCTTTATAGCCTTCTAAATACAGCCTGATTCAAATTTTTCACTTGGCACACAATCTCATGATGAGGGATACTGTATGTACCTAACAGAAAATTAAGGAAAGAGTTAATAGTCAATAAAACATCAAAAGAATACAGCTCGTTTCTATTTGAAGGCAGCATGTGTGTCATACAGTACATGCAATTCAAAATTCTCTGAAGGTTATCTTTAACTGAGAGAGAAATCAAGTGAGGCAATTGATTTTGATTTTATCTTTTGTCACTGACATATTAATTCCCGACTTTTTCCTGTTCTTCTCCTCCACTGACGATGATGATACTGACAAGAATTGCTTGCTCTAGTTTAGAACTTAATATAACAAGCCCTGCCTTTCAAGAAATTACTGGTGTAGAGATAAAAAAGAAGACCCTGTGATTATCAGTTGTATGTAATAATTGTGAACAAATAACATTTGAATTATTTTTAAACTGGATGATAATATCATAACTTTCTACCTCCCGTCCCTCTCCACCAAAGGCATTTTGTTCCATGGTATTGCATGCTCCTGGGAATATGTATCACTGCAGGTATTCAAATATGATTACTGTGGAAGGAGCTGTGCTTCGCAGAGGCTGTAGACTGAACTGGCCACTGAGGGGACTTTTAAAAATTTCATAATAAGGGCATAGTCATTTAGCAGCTGCTCTACTGTACAATCTGCATGCAGCTAGCACCAATGCAAGTTGGAAAAGGGTTAGACAGCAGAGCTTATTTATAATTCAATTATTTTAAATATTTTAAGGCAGAGAGGATGTGCATGCAGTCATAAATGTTTAAAGCACTTTAGCTCAGGGATTGGTGTCCACTTAGCTTTCAGCGGGTGTTGCTACAGATTGACTCCCTGATAATGCAGCACAATTTAGAGGCTTTCCTCACCTTTAATCAGAAATAATGCATTTTAAAAAAGGAACTTCCATAAGGCGGCATCTCATTTAAACATTCCTCCCTCACTCTCACTCCTCACCAACAGAATGCATAGAGAAAATGACAGATAGCGCTGTCTTTTAAGAAGGAGACTCAGATAACTCACGGGGAACTGATGACAAAGTAATTCTGTTAGGCATGTTGGAGATTCCATTGAAAAGGCTAGTGAAATAATCAGCAAATTGTCCGCTCCCATTGTGCCTTACATAGGTTTGTAAACGGAAAGCTTCATGGCAAATTCAGACCCTATAGTCTAAATACAAAAGAGCTGAACACTAAAACTGATGGTCTCCACGCGACAGGATCTAAACCAGATAATAGCAGCTGTAAGATATGCACTGTGCCTGTAATTACTGTATAAACATTCAGCCTAATTCAATGCCTTGTGGAAAAAAAAGAGTTGGAAAATAATAGGTATTGAGCCGAATAACATTGTATGTTCTGGTCTGAGTTACTAGAGCTAGAAATGTGCTCTTAATAATAGCCCTGTTAACATCCTTTAAATTCAAATCTCTCTCAACTTTTTTATCTATTAAATATAAAACATAAACCTGAAATGTGCAGCTAAATATTCACATTTCTGCTTTACAGAAAGATGGTCACAGACATATAAATCCAGCATTTAGAAAAGGTATACATACAGTAGGTTTGGTTCTTACCTTGAAATACTGTTCACAATCCAATAGTCCACAAGATAAGCTGGATGAGCACCACAGCCTGCGAGCCTCACAGTCTGCTTCAGCGCAGCAGCTAAATTCAGGATTCGTCTAAAACACTTTTGACAGAGATGGGGAAGTGCTTCCTTGCTGCTGCCAGAGTCCTTTTTCTCCCCCCTTTCTTTCTTTTTTATTTAACTTGCGTTCTTAAAAATCAGGATAGTCTTCACATGAGCACAGGGATGATGAAAAGAAATCACAGGGGTTCCTCCTCACTCAGAAACTCTCTTTGTGAATGGCTAGAGCAAGTCAGTGCTTCCCACCTTGACAAATCACCCTTTCAGTTCAGCCCATTGTTAATAAGCTGCTCAGAGAGCAAACTTTGAGGCATCAGATTGAAAGGCGGGGGGAGTGTTTTCTTTTTTTTTCCCTTTCTTTTCCCCCAGCACAGCTTTTCTGAGACTAGATGCTAAACATCACCGGCACGAGTTTCTCTCTCTCTCTCTTCTGGCAATTACTGTTATGGCATATGAAGTCATGTCGGAGATAAAGGTTCACAGCTTTCCCCCAGGGAGAAACTCATAATGGTCTGACTGGAGAATTATTCCAAGAGGAGGAGTAAATATATGAAGAAAAAGAAAAAAAAGGAGAGCTTTTGCCCACCCCCTATCCCTCCACCCTTACTTATTACTACCTAGTAATTACTATTACTAGCACTACCTGTACATGAGCATCCCTAAGCTGGCTTTTCCTACTTGCAAAATAGAGTATAAGGACTGGGTCATAGCTTGGTGTGTGTGAACTGACAGGAAAAAAATGAAGAGGTGGACTAAAATAGAAACAACAGCTCACAGCTGAATGGTGGAACAAGGACAGTACACAAAATGCAACAGACGTGATTTTCTATAATTAGTACTGTAAATAAGTGATAATCTAAATCCAAATCTATCCCAATGCATATGCATAAAGATAATTAAGAGAGGCAAATGGCTTTTGGGGGTAAGAAGCAGAAAGATATTAAGTGCACAACACAGTGATAAAGAAAATTCACCCATCAATCCTTATTTTTAATTTGTTCCTAATTATTCTCAAAATAAAAGAAAATACATCAATTTATATAGATAGAAGATTTCTTATGTCTATGTCAAATAAAAAGCCATACAAATCTTCATATAGTCTCAGTTTTTATGGTGCGACCCACTATTTCTTCCTCCAAATCTTTTTCTAGATCTCTTCGTCATACCTTTTCTTCCTCCCTGGGATACATGCCCGCTTCTCTCACTAAACCAGCATTCCATCTCTTCACAGCTATCTGTTCCAAGACCAGGCTTTCTAACCACCTTCTATGCCTTTACAGATGTCGTCGACATAATATCATCCCGAAAGGATTTTGCCTGAAATTTAATACCTGTTCTTTTGATTCTGATACCACTCACACCTGAAGAAGTTTTCACGGCCGAAACGTTGTGTTTTCTTTCTTCTTTTTTTCAGCATGGGATAAACCTATTACATGTTCCTTTGCAGCCTACACATGCTGACGCAGTTACCCACCTGAAATATTAAATTTATTAATCACTGTAGAAAGCAAGACAATTCTAATGTACTGTTTTTATAATATTGTTACCTTTGCCATTTTAAAATGACCCCCCCCCCCCCCCAAACATCATTAAATTGCTTAAATAAATCGCTTTGCCTTTAATGAAAATATCAGCCATGCATATGAGCGTACTTATCAGGCCACTCATGATGCACAAGGTCAAACTACAAAAGGACCTTTCTCTCCCTCTTTTCATTTGCTTTGCAAATCTGCAGCATGATTTCAAATAGTGTGCACAGAGTCCTTTCTGTGTCACATGCATACAGTATACCGCAAAGGTTGAATCACGCTATCGGATGTCTTACTGTATGGATCCAAGGCTGTAAATTCGGTACATTCTGGATGTTGACCAGTAAATGCCAGAGTGGTTTGTATTTGAAGGCAATGTAAAACTCATTAGAGATTGATCTACTTCTAAGTTTGCACCTGCTACCTCAAAGGCATAGAGTAAGAGAAGGAAAAAAATAGTGGATCTAAAGCTGCTATTAATCCATATTAATACACGTTGTGGTTTCTTGGTCATTGTCTTCTGGACCCCCATAACCACTAATTTGTGCTCCAAATAAACTTGTATAAGTACTTAGATTCAAGTGCCTTGATTAGACCTTTTCTATAGAAGAGTTCAGTTTTTGAACCTGTTGCAAAAACTAAGCTTCAGAGTTCCCATAATTTGCATATTTTACTTAATTTCTATACTAAAATTTAAGTTATAAAGTTAAAGCAATGAAGAACTAAGAAAACTTATGGAACTGTTTGCTAGAGTTCTTCCCTCCTGTAAATGCATTTATGTTGTTAATTGATGGTTTAAACAACTGCAAGACACGAACAAAATTTTTAGCTAAGTTTAGCACATGCTGAAAATTCTGTTTGACGAAATTATTGACAACAATGCAACTAAACCAAGGGGTAATTGCCATAACTACTTTCTTTGAAAACAGAAGGATAAGGAAAATAGATACTGTACAACAAGGACCAGGCCTGATATGGATATGGACATACAGAAAAATTATATTTATCTGGCAATTTTTGTAAATACAATACTTTAAACAAACTCTTGATTCATTTCAATTAATCTTAAATTTGGTAGTCACTGAGGTAACAAGATTGAATTATAGACAAAATTCTCTGTTTACATTGGAGGAGGAGGAAATGAGAATAACTCTTCAAATCCATCACCTGTGATAGCTTACTGTATATATAAAAGTTGCAATGTTTAAAACTGTCATTCTGCTCACGTGGTGTCAGAACTATAGAAATGTATCAACACCTCAGAGATATTTCTGTTTATTGAAGTTGATCCTAGCTTCTTTCCATAAATGGATGGACTGTAGATCTTTGGCTCACTTACTGTAGTTACTAGCAATCAAATTAGTTAGAGAGGCTTAAGCGCCTCATCTATAACCTTTCTTACGTTGTTATGCACAAAGCAAATAATTAAACTTATTGTTTTAGAAAACAGACAGCAGTACTTGCAATATAACTCATTACAAAGGTCAAAGGATTTATTTGACTTCTGGTTTGAACCTGGGCAGGCAGAGGAACGACAGTTTCAATTGCTAACGAGATATGTCCATATGTTCAGCTATGGTACAACAACTAACTGAAATACAGTATATATATATAGATTTAGTTTGTGTAGAGGGAACAAACTGAAAATCTAGCAAATATAGTCCCTAGCAGCTACTGTCATCACTATGGGCAGATAGCTTTTTATGAAAGACTGCTTCCATTAAAATAACTTTTTTGGGCATTAAAAACAGTAGACAAAACTTATACAAAGTTTTTATCAAGCTGGCATGGTAATGATTGTAGGCTTTAGATGGTATATCACACAATTGCTCAAGTAATTCTTTGACATCCTTAGGATGTCATTATTAACAAGAATGTATTGGGTTGGGAGGATACAAAGCTGAATGGGTTAGCCTGTAGCAGCCCAAAAGCTAGCCATAGTATAAAAGAAGACACTGATCCTCTGTTATTTGTGCTGTGGGCTTCCATCATGAAAATATAGCCTGTATGTTTCACAACATTTCACAAAATGGGAAAACATAGGAAGGGTCTGAGTACTTTAGCAAGGCACTGTGGTTTGTTATCTAATCATGTGTGGGGACAGTAGCAAACAAGGAGGAATAGAACACTATAGAAAAAAAAATCCAAAAAAGATTAGGGAAACACCTGGCAAGCAATTCTGAACATACAACGGTACATGCAAGCAGTAAAACATAAAATATAGATACAAAAACTTGTAAAAGTTACTTTTACAAAACAATAAATTGTTAATTTTGTCATATTATTTTCTAGACATTCTGGGAAAGCCATTGAAAAGGAAAACAAAATGTAAGAATAAGTAATATTTTTACACAGAATTTAAAACAAGGGATGGTATTTTAAGAGTTTACTGTGCTCTAGTAAGACCTCATTTAGAATATTGTGCACAATGTTTGTCACTATGCTAAAAAAATGCTCATCTGGAAGCAGGCTAGAGAAGATAACCAGATACATTTCCAGACTCAAAGGAATACCCTACAATGACACTAGTAATCTGCTAAAAGAAGAGAAACGTTTTGGTTTCAACAGAAAAGTCTATGAAGTCTATTTAAAAGCACTGAAAAAGTTAACCCTATGGACTTCAAAACAACAGTGAAACACAAACCAGAGGCCACAAGTGGACACTTCATGAAAGAGCATTTACAACAGAGAACAAAAAGTGCTTATTTACCCAAGGCGTTGGTTACTATGGACCACAAGCTACCCAGACATGTTGTTGAAGCTCATAAGGTGTATTTTTTAACAAAAAGAATGAGATCTTTGGATAAATTAGCTGCTAGCAGCCAAATGTTTGAGTTGATATCAGCAGGATGAGCAAGATGGCCACATGTTTTCTTTGTTCATATAAAGGATTTAGTTTGAAAACTACATATGCAGTCATGAATGAAATAATATCAGAGTATGTGATATTATGTGAATATAGACACAGACCGAGATGAAAGCAATTTGGCTAATGTTAGTGGCAGATGGATCAAAGGCATTAGAGAATTATGGTGACATTACTGTTGAGGCACTGTATTTACTGTAAGCACAGCTTGAATGCTACCAAATTCTTACTTCTACGTTTAAAATTCTGTAGATTTTTTTAGAATGAGTGAAAAGATACATTAAATTACAGATACTGGCAATTGTACAGCACACCACAGGATACTGACTCTGCTATAATGCTTTTTCTTCAAAACAGATAAGTGTACTATACCGTTTAGATTGTTTGTAATTGTGTTACTCGAACTATGAAGCAATCTACCATGTACCGTGTTTTGCCATCTTGATCAAGCTATACTGAAAACGCTATAGGTTTTCAATCAAAAAGCCTCTATATAATATATATTAGCACATATACAACAAATATTTTTTTAATAAATTCAGCAATTTCAATATAAATAAAACCCAACTGAAATTCAAATACTGTGTATTTTCTTGGCAAAAAGTCTTTATGACTAACATCATAATGTTAATGAATAAAAATAAAGCCCGGTACATTCTTGAAATCCTTTATCTGGTTTCTTTCTTTCAAAAAAACAGTTTCTGACTGTAGAAACAGAACTTGTATCGTGCTGTCATTATAAAGCACTTTCCTGATCAAGTTACATTAATTTTCATCAGTTGCTTTCTTCCTTCTTTTTTCTTCCTGACAGCCTTTGGATGCTTGTTTACATTCGCTTCTTCTAAAATACAATTCAGCACATACTGATCAACAGAGAGCTTCAGTTTGGCTTCAGCTGCCTCCTGCAGCTCCCAAGACATTTCATTTTCATGTCTAAGAAAAGTGGGACACCCAAAGAGAAAAAAAAAAAGAACACAGTAGTGCTTGTTTATATCTACTCCACTAAGGCAAAAGCAAAAATGAATGACTTATACTCATGCAGGAAT